ACACATTGCTGGTGTCTGTAGAGTTGATGAAAGGTGTTACTTTACTGACAGGGAAGCCAGAGCATTCCTGATGAAATAAATGGATTTTATATATTGCAATTTCACAGCCATTTGGGGACCTTAATTAGCAGTTATGATTCTGATAGATAATCTAGAGTGCCTATATTAGTTTGCCTGTGATTAAAAAAAAGATCGTTGCAGAAAAATGAGCTGGCTATCTACATGGCTAACATACTTCATCCTTTTCTACACTGTGCTAAAAACAAGCCGCCATGATTAATTTTGAAGCTTTCAGTAATACAGGTTGAGAATTTCTTATCCAAAATGCTTCAGAAAAGAAGTGTTTTGGAATTTAGATTTTATTTTTTAAAATGGAAGATTTGTATTTGCATATATATGAAGAATGAGATATGATGGGGATCCAAGTCTAAGCATGAAATTCATTGGTTACATACATTCCAACTGTGGAATGCATACATTCCAGCCATGGGGAGACCTCTCAGCCCGGTCATAGCAAATTTCTACCTGGAACACTTCGAAAAACAAGCCCTGGAAACAGCAACTAAAAAGCCCACTATATGGTTCAGATATGTGGATGACCCCACCATTTGGAGCCATGGAGAAGAAGAACTAAACAAGTTCCTGGACCACCTCAACAGCATCCACCCAAACATTCAGCATGGGAAAAGAAAATGAAGCAAAACTGCCATTTCTAGATCTCCTAGTCATCCACAAATCCAATCAACAATTGGGCCACACAGTTTACAGAAAACCTACACACATGGATAGATACCTACATAAAAACTCCAACCATCACCCAAATCAAAAAGAAGCACAATTGAAGCCCTGACAGAAGAATAAAAAAGAATATGTGAACCCCACCTCCTCCAAGGTGAACTGAACCACCTAAACGTGACTCTACAGGCCAATGAATACTCCACCACAGATTCCACAGATACCAGAAGAGCTTGAAGACCAAGAACAAGCCATGAGAGTAAAGATAAAGATCTAGGCAGAAGAAAAGTGTCCTAACCATATATCAAGGGAACCACTAACTGCATAGGGAAGCTGGTGAAGAAACATAACCTGCAAACTATCTACAGACCCACTAAGAAAATCCAACAACTGCTACATTCAGCAATGGACAATAGGGATCCTCTCACCTCTGCAGGAGCCTATCATATACCATGCAGGTGTGAACAAATCTACATAGGAACCACCAAATGCAGCATTGCCCAAACACTAATCAAGGAATATGAAAGGCACTGCAGACTAATTCAACCTGAGAAGTCAACCATAGCAGAGCACCAGATGGACCAACCTGAACACAGCACATTATTTGAGAGCACAGAAATACTGAACCAATCTAAAAACTAGGCAGAGAAGTCATAGAAATCCACAAGCATGTCGACAATTTCAGTAGAAAGAAGGAAACCATGAAAATGAACAAAATAGGGCTTTTAAAAAACTCTAAAATCAGGACAGTAAATAAAGAGCAACACTAAAAAAAAAAAACCCAAGGGAATTCCAGACAAGAATCAATAAGGGTCAGCTAACACCTCCCAACAAAGGAATTCCCCAGGCAGGAACCAGCCAGGCTTTAATAATAATAACTTTATTTTTGGAACCTGCCTCCATCTCCCCGAAGGGACTCGGGGCAACTTACATGGGGACAAGCCCAAGCAGCATAGTTAAAATAACACATTAAAATTAATAAAAACAACAACAAGCAAAATAAAACAACAATGGCATAACACAATATAAAGCAACCATGGCCTTGCAGCTTTGAAGCTGCAAGACCATTCAATGCTAATCAAGGTGGCCAACTGCAACATCCACACTTGCCTCAAACAGACAAGAGTTCTTTCTCTCACCCTGGACATTCCACCGATATATAAACCTCACTTGCCTAGTTTCCAACAGATCTCACAAGATCTTGCAACCTCTGAGGATGCCGGCCATAGATGTGGGCAAAACGTCAATAGAGAATGCTTCTGGAACAGGGCCATACAACCCAGAAAACTCCCAGCAATCCATTCCAACTGTTCCATTTTGTTAGGACAGTCTTAATTAATCCACTATTGTCCTGCTTTTAAAGCTACTTTTAAATTGTCCTGATTTCCATCCTTCTCACTCTCACTATCCCAGTTTATCCTTAGTTACTTCAATAGTTACTTTAAAAAAAGTTCCAAATTCATATAGTACTCAGTTTACTCAGCAGTGGGAACGGGAGAGTAAGGATCAGAGCCTTGTCCCCTCCATTAGGTGCAGGCAGAAGCAAACCGTTGCAAGTCTTCTAGCTTGCGCGTTCTTCCTTGTTAACCACTTTTGCCATCTTGACCTTGATCAGATTATTATGTGTTTTGGTTTTCATCTGTGAAATGTTGCTGTATGTTATAACTATTTTTTTCTTTTGTTTCTTTGTATCAGATCTCCTTTCCCCTCCATGTTTCCCTTGCCTGTAATCATTTTTCTGATAACATGGGCCCAAGAGATGTAGCATGTAATCTCAGAATGTATATAAACATTAATTAGACCTCAGGAGGTACTCCGTGTTCAACGACTGCATAAAGGTCTCTTCTTCACCATGTGCGATTTCAGACAAATGTCATGATTAAACTGCAGCTGTGTGCATGTGGGGATCTCCAGATCAGTGCCAGACTCATTTTGCTATCTCTGAGGTGTCATGGAAGGTTCAGTTATTTGTACTTTGGTGTTTTTAGGGGTTTAGCACAAACATTCATTCCGCGTTTTCTCTGCACCTTGTTTTCAAATTGAAACTGCTGCCTAAATATGAGAATAATGTATGAAATGTACACACAAACATTACTTTCCCTTAAACTAAAAAGAGAGAAAGAACAAAACATCATGGCAAATGTATGCAAATGATGGGGAGGAAAAAACTTGAGGAATTTTTAATAGAAGCTGCCAAAAGGCTTTTCACATTGGTACGTGTGACAGTCTGGCACTGAAGATATTTGCATAACTTTCACATGACTCCTTATTGTTACTGTTTCCCCTGCAAGAAAAGGATTTTTTTTAAAAAAAAATGTATCCCCTTCATAAGTGAAGGATGTCTTTTCATCTTGACATTGTTCTTGGGTAAGGCAGCATTTCCTAATGAATGTGGAGCTGGAAGAAAGATAAAAACTGAAAACAGCATCAGTGACTCTCTTGCTTTGCCCTCGCGGCGTGTAGTGGCTTTTAAAATATTTCGTTCCAAATCAAGAGAGTGTTAATTTCCCTTGAATTAGAGTCTCACATTATTATCATCATCATGAATGTTTGAAGTACAAAATAATGATTGTTTGACTGCTCCCAGTTTGAACTAAGTGGGGAGCTTATGGGCCCACTTTGCATTTCATTCCACAGTGAAATTTCCTGGGATTCAGGGGAGTTATTTTGCATGTATTGATTTACCTGCAGAAATTTAGTTTTCTAAGGAAGGAGCCCATTTGAGGTTAATTCTATTGAAATTAATTTATCTTCAACTACAATTGGCTGGCCATATCCATAAATTTTGCATCCATGGATTCAACCATCTACAATTTGAAACTACAGTTGCATTCCACATGTTACTTGTTGAGATTTCTGACCTCTTCACATGGTTTTATCTGGCACATGCTGCAATAGGGAAGGTGTGCAGGGCTGCTTGTGATGCCCAGCGCAACCTCCCTCCTTCATCACACGGTGGGGATGGGACAAGGTGCGTTAGCACACTGTCCCTGTCCCCATCAGATGGCAGAAAAGGCAGAATTACGTGTTGCCCCGCCACCCTTTCTGCCATCATATAGCAAAAAAGGGAGGAAAATGCAGAGCTAATCAAACTACACTTTCTTCCCCATAGTGGCAGAGAAAGCACCTTTTGGTGCCTCCCCTCCACTTTGGTAGGGCTGTGGATGGGGCCTGCTGTGCGTCATGTAATGGCACACAACTGGCCCCATCCTTGCCGCAAATAAAAGCAGCAAAACAGGGCAAAAATGTCCCGTGTGAACAGGTCCATGATCTCCAAGTCCTCTAGTTGTATTCTCTGGTCAACTTTCACTGGAAGTCATGCTGGGTGACCAAATGATTTCAGAGTAAGTTGACCATAGAGTCATATTGGAAGAGCAAGAGATACCTAGAGAGATATCCCCATAGTTTTTAAAAAAATAATAATGTTTTTTTAACTCACGGCTTTCCCTCTTGCAGGAATCCTTCTCCTATAGCCTCAGCTAATGTGGAGGGTGGATTGTATTTTTTAAAATTGGGGGCGGGGGATCCAAAAAACAAAACCTTGATTTTGCCTTTTTATTATGCTAATGTATACAATGGGACTTGAGCATCCATGGACTTTGATATTGTGGAATCAAACCCCATCAGGGCCCACCATAAATGTATTTGGTATCTGAAGGTAAGCTCTTTTCCCATTCTGTGCATAAAAGGAAAGTCCCTCCTTTTCATTTGATGAGGGATGAGCAGGGTGAGGTGTATGAAAGATTATTATGGCCCCAGATAGATGTGACTGCACTGTATGCGAACACAGAAAGGAGACCTTTTCTTATGTTAGTGGGAGGTCTTATCTATGACCTAAAGGTTTGGCATAGTGAATGAAAAAACACTTTTCCCCCCATTTTTATCTCTTTCAAGATGAAATTTGAGATCATACCCTCTCAAGAGGTGACAGCACTATTCTCTTAGTGTCTAGTGTTGGGATTTACAACAGCCAGTCACATATTCACATACACACATTGTTCATTTCATACCTTTGAAGACAAAATGCTATATAAAGCTATTTGTTGCCTACAGGCCCAAAGAAGACAGGAGGGGTGGGGGGGGGGGAGAGTAAGTGTGAAATATGTATTAATATTTAATCCAAGCAATTTGCATGAACTTGATGCTGCAATTAGTTAGCAATACCCATCTGTTGTGCAGAGCACAATGATGACTTATTAAATAACTTGAAGAGGGGAAAGGAGCTGCCAATTACCTTTCAATTTATTCCTTAATAAAGCATCTACAGTCTCTACAGAGGGAGATCCAGATGGTGAAGGAAACTCTCCAGGCCATGTTGGTGCAACTCCAGGCACCTAAGGAAGCAAAAGAAGATGCTGGTGCAGACTTCCTCAGTGACAGCTGGTGCCTGGGAAAGCAAAGCTTGGACAAGTAATGAAGAGGAAGGTGGAGGGGAGAAGATTAATTTGCAGGAGTGGATCTCAGGAACTGCTTTAGCAGGCAACGAGATTCCCTCCCATCTCTGCATAACTGATAACATCTAAATAAATAACAAAGTATGTGGGTGGGCGGGCTGTAGAGTGGAGGTCTTGCCTTACAAATGTTGTGTCTTGTCCGTTTAAGGGCTCAAATCTAGAAAGCCTTTCAAGAGCAAAGTATCCCCCCAACTCCTGTGTGTTTGTTGCAACCTGATACATTTGAAATGATGCATCAAAATGCAATATTTGCCACAAAGTCAAGACAATCTTCTTGGGAACTCCTTGGTTTGGATTTCTCCATAACTGACATAACATGATATGGATATTTGTGCCTTAGGAAGCCAATCCAATCAAGCTGCAGAACTGTGCTTGTGCAAAAGTATTTCTTGCCTAGATGCCATAGTAGTGACTCTCAAATAGCCACAGAGGCCTACAGTGTTTTGCTGCCTGAAGTTGGTACCTCCTGCTCAGGTCAACATGTATAGTATCCCAAAGCAAGTCAAGAATATCTAACACATCATCTGTTAACTTAAGGTAACATTATGAATTTTTTAGAAAGTGAAAATTCCTTGGCATTCCTGATGTAAAGGTGATAAAACAGGTCTGGCCATACTTAGATTCCAAGATCAGATGATGCTGTCAGGATATTTATACCCTCTAAACAGATATTCTGTCTGTATTTTGTGGCTCTCTTCTCATTGTACTGTAGTCGGACCACTGTGGAATCAAAAATGTTTCCTTGTTGAAAAAAAATCAGTTTATTCTTTGATAACACTACTGTCCAACTATTGCTTCTGGTACAAATGTCTCATTCTACTGCTATTATCTGGACAGTTGGTCCTATATGGACTATCTCTTCCTATGCCCGAGGAGGGTACAGTCACACCACTTCGGATACATGAGCAAGGAGGACATCACTGTTTGTAGGAGAAAGCACTCTAATCTTTAAAAGTTTGGAAAAACGACTAGGTTTTTCCATACTTTTTTTTTTGGTGCAGTCGCACAATTGTGCTACTGTGTAGGCTTGGATGAATTAATTCAGAACAGAGGAATTCAGAATCTATCTTAAATAGTTTTATAGGTCGTTTTCCTCATGTAAGCATCCAGGAAAATATTCAAAGCTAATTAAAAGTACATGTGGTTTATCAGCATTTTCAGACTGTCCCAGGAAATTGCTTTCTTTGTTCTGATTATTTATCAGAGCAGATAGCAGGCTCAAAGTATGTGAAATTAAATCAACAGGAACCTGGATGTGTTTACTTTAGAGAGCTTGTCAGTTTAAATAAGGAATCTGGTGAAGGATTGTAATTGAGGGAGAAATCAAGGAGGAAGTTCACTTTTTCACCTATTTATGAAAATAGGATGGGGTCAGAGGTCTGAGGGTCATCTTGCTGTTCCTAAGCAAGGACTTGTGTAAACACTCTAGTTAACAGGATGCTATACTATCTGGGAAAGCCCTTAAAAAGTAGATAAAGTGGCCTATACAACCTCACTTCCAGGGAATGAAAATCTCAGGGTTTTGAGTCCAGTTTGGGAATAGAGAAATTAAAAAATATATGGACTCCATAGGTTTAAAAATATATGGACCCCATGCATTGCCAGATCCAGCTTTAGTGCCTCATGAACTTAGGAAAAGGGAAGACGGAACAAATACAGCTAAGTATGTATATGTGCCTTCTAGAGCTAGCATGACATAATAGTTTGGGTATTGGACTAAGACACTAGTCTGGAGACCAGGGTTTGAATTTCTGCTCAACCATGGGAAGCCATGGCTGATCTTATGAAAGTTACATACTCTCAGCCCCTGAGGAAGGTGAAAATAAGGGGAAGTCCATCTGAATATATCTTGCCAAGGAAACCAAGGAAACCATAAGGATATATTCCTTCCTCTGAAATATAGCCCACAGCATTTGGTATTCCTTGGCAATTTCTGATCTAAGATTCTAAGATCAGATGGGATCTGGTATCTTCAGAGTATGTTCAACTTCCAAACAGATAGGTAAAGATTCATCTATCAATTTACATTCTGCTTTTCTCCAAGCATGCATACTGAAAGTGCCTTAAAACAATTTAAAACATAGGGCCCCACTACACAGCCATGTAACCCAGAATATCAAGGCAGAACATCCCACAATATCTGCTTTGAACTGGGTTATCTTGAGTCCATATTGCCGTATATTCCAGTTCAAAGCAGATAATTGAGATTTTATTCAACTATGTGGAAGGGGCCAACAATTCAACGAAAATCTTACTTTACAAGTATTTAAGATTCAATTAAACATATAGTTGAAACAATTTAAGCACATTTAAAACATAACTAAGAGTACAAAAGGACAGCATACCACAATGGAGACACATTCATGACACATGATTTAAAAATGAAAAGTGTGCCTAAATTAAGAAGTTATAGTCGAAAGAGAGCAAAGAAGAGACCCAATGAATCTTCCGTGGGAGGGGATTCCACAATTTAAAGGCAACCACCAAGAAGGTTTCCACCCACACCCTCAACAAATGTGGTGGGACTGAGATATAGCCTTCCTCCCAAGATCTTGAACAGTTTCATACCAGGAGATACTGGTATTTCTTTCAGACAGATTGGACCTTAGCTGTGTAAGGGTTTTAAAGGTTGTAACCAACACTATGTATTCTTCAGAAGGCTCTTCCCAAGGAAGGACATATGTAAACCACTCTGGTTAACAAGATGCTACCACGTTCTCCCTATATATACCATCTGGAAAAATCCTTAAAAAGTGAACAAAGTTCAATTCTTCTATCAAATTATATTTAAGAAAGAAAAGGGAGAGAGAAGGAACCCAGGAATTTAAAGCTGAAGCTAATAACCAAATTTTGCTAAATGAAATGAGGGCTGCACATACCCACTGGCATTCTATATAACTGTGATAATTAACATCAAAGCATTGCTTAATCGCTTTTCACTTATTTTCATTAGGTGTTGCGAAGTGGGAGAAAATGCTTGTTAATTCTAAGGGCAAAATTATTTAAAGTAATTACCAATGATTTTGTTTTTCAAAAAACACTTGAAACGCTTGATGATGCTTAGTGTAATTATGTAAACGTGTAAATACTGTAAATTACATATGTGCTTAAAAAAAGAACAGGCATTCAATAATAATAGTACTATTCTTCTGAGGTTTAGACATTGATAATATTTTGAAAAATGGAAATGATAATATTGGATGTATTTTAAAATATGATTCATTCCAATATTTATTTATCTGTGATCTGCTTGTTTTGCAGTATAGAAAGAGTGCCTTTAAATCAGGGGACCAATGAGCAGGGAGTGACTAAAATACCACCTAGCCTTGAAAAAAGCTATAAAGACATAGCTAGGGTGTTACACGTTTCAACTATTTCCCACCAATCACCAATCAGTTTTTAAATGAGGACTGAGGAACATCTGGTCCTTTGGCTGAAGCTTGGGTTCCCAGCATTCCTGATCATTGACAATCAAATGCTGTGACAAAGCCATTTCTTTCAGAGCAATACATATGTGTTGTCGGAGGCTTTAATGGCTGGAATCACTGGGACATGGCCACATAGCCTGGAAAACCCACAGCAAGCCAGTGATACATATGTTTTCATGATCTACATAATCAACAGCTTTAATAGAATCCATAAAGCACAGGTTAATTTTGTTTTGAAATTATTGTATGAACTTCACTATCTAATGTATGCTTGTAATGTGATCCCTGGGTGCCTCTTCCTTTCCTAAAACCAATTTTGACTTCTGGCATTTCTTACTCCATATATGATAAAAGTCCTTGTGGTAGAATTTTGGTCAACATTTTGCTTGCTATGGTTAGTGCAGTCCCTGGTATCCCCTTTCTTGGCGATTGGAGTATGGGTCGTTGTTTTGTTTTTCATATCTGTTGACAGCATTCAGGATTCTGACTCTATTTCTGTCACCTCTTATATTTGTTTCTCTTCTGTTGGTAACTGCTTGAAGAGTTCCACTTGTCATCTATTAATTGTTTATGTTTATTATTATTTTTACTGTAGATAGTGTCTTTATAGATTCCTCTCTAATAATATTTCTGGCTTCAGTACAGATTTCTTCTGGTGCCTAGTCAATATATATAGTGGTTCAAATCTATTCTTCCATTATTGTTAAATTTTACAGTCATGTTCTTCAGGTTATATTTTGACATGATTATTGGTTTAGTGTTCTTCATTAGCGTCACTGTAATTTTTTATATTGATAGTTTATTGTCTGTGCAACAACCTAATCTTGGTCTAGTTTTTGCAAGGAGAAATGGAGCTTCTCCATCTCCTATTTGAGAGTATGTTGTTTATTTGATTTCTATACTAGCATCAGGTGATGTCCATATATGCAGTCATTTTTGTCCATATATGCAGTCATTTTTTGCATTGCATAAAGAATGGGTTTGTGATGAACAAACTTTTGGCCTTTCTTCATCCAAGACCAAATTTTCCTATAATTTTGATTCTACTCTGTTTACTACTTTTGCATTCCCATTGTCTTTGATTAACAAAACATACTGTTTTGGTGTATGATCCACCTCTTTCCTGGACTCCAGCAGAGAATCTTTCCTTTTCTCCTTTTTCTATCTCAGCAGTTGGAGTGGAAACATGAATTATGTTTATATTGATGGGTTTTCCCTTAAGTATTATTATCATTATTTGGTCAGACTTTGCATTATATCCTATTAATATTATTGCTACATCTCTCCTCACTATTTATGCCATTTCTTCTTAGACTTCCATTTACTGAGAAAAATACTATAACATTACCTGAGACTAGATCTACACTGCCCTACATCCCAGGATCTGATCCCAAATTATCTGATTCTCCCAGATTATCTGGATTATATGAGTGTAGACTCATATAATCCAGCTCAAAGCAGATAATCTGGGATCAGATCCTAGGATATTGGGCAGTGTAGATCCAGCATGACTTAGAATCTCCTGTCCATTTTGGCTCATTCCCCCCAAGTATCGCAGTGTTTTATGTCTAGCTTCATGCTTCTTGCATTCCATGTTCCTATATGTTGTGGAGCTT